CCCTAAACCCCAAACCCTAAACCCTAAATATCCCAGCCCAGGTGGAACTCTACTGCGGACGTCTTGTAGACCTGCTTCGCCCCACTCGCCGTGGTGCAAGTGGGGGCCCCCATTTGCTACTATTTGCTTAAGAACCCCAAAAGAAGAACAAATATTAATTCATATATTACCCTTAACAAGGAAGAATATATATATATATATATACATTTATATACACATTTTTGGGGGGTTCTTAAGCAATTAGTAGTTTGTCTGTTGGTAGTAGGGTTCTGGATTCAGGGCTGAACCCTTCGGGTTTGAGTTTTAATAGGGATGTTTGGTTTTGGGTTTTGTGTTTAGGGTAGTGAAGGCTGTGATAGGGTTTAGGATACAGCTCTGAACCCTGGTTCAGGTTGTAATTAGGGTTTAGGGTTTAATTATAGGGTTCAGGGCTTAGAGTTTAGGTTCAGGGCTTAGGGCCTAGGGCTTAGGGCTTAGGGCTTAGGGTTTAGGGCTTAGGGTTTAGGGTTTAAGGTTTAGGGTTTAGGGCTTAGGGCTTTGGGCTTTGGGCTTGGGGTTTAGGGCTTTAGAGCCCCAAGGCCGGCAAGTTTGTAGGTGCTGATCCCCTTCTGCAGGGCAATGTGCCAGAAACCTACTACTTGCTTAAGAATCCCCAAGAGCTGAACGAGAAAAATCCCTGTATTACCCTATAGTTTTTAGGTCTTCTTAAACAAAGAGTAGAAGCGAGGCAATTGTGTGGCAGCTTGGGGCGGTTGGGGTGAGAGTTGCGGAGTTTGGTGTGCGAGTTGTGTGGGAAGGTAGCTACGTTTGTTTGGGGTTTAGGGTTTAGGGTTTTGGGTTTTGGGTTTGGGTTTGGGAGTTGGGGTTTGAGGTTTAGGGTTTAGGGTTCACGTTTTAGGGTTTAGGGTCTATGAGGGTAACTTTGGTGACGATTGTGAAGATCAAGTGTCGTGTAGGTTATTTCGCAATTCGGGCTCAGCCTGTAGAGCACCAGCCTCCTTCAGGCCCAACGTATTTAGACTTTCAGGCTCCAAAACTCTCTAAACACTGAACCCTCAACCCTGACCCCTGGGACGGGGCTCCAAGCCATGACCCTGGACGGCCCAGCTCTTCACGACCTGGCGGCCAAGACCTTGTCTGCCCAATGTGGCCAAGGCAACCCATACCAGAGTATACCTGGCAAAAGTTGCAGGCGCACGCGGATTTTGCGAAGGTTCATCCACTGGCCCTGACCCTCACGCCGGTCTCGGAAGCAAGGCTAAGGCTGGAGGAGGCCGAAGAAGCAGCTTAGTCCGCCGGTGGCCGTGGTCCTCCTCGGGACGCCCTCAGCCGCGCAAGACAAAATCCTGGGAAGAATGGATGCGAAGCTGGACAAGTTTGAAGGCACATCGATCACTGCAAGTGAAGAGTGCTGCCAAGGTCCCTACAACCCTTACATGAACCCCCACAACCCCCGGTACGAAATCCTAGGCCTTGCATCCTAACGAATCCGATGAGATTCAAACCCTATACGGCCCTAAATGAAGACCCCGCGAGCACGTAAAACTCCCTGAAGCTCCGCCATTAGAGCCCCCCTCCAAGATGTAGGGACCTAAACCCTGAAACCCCAAAACCGGGGTGAGGGTTCAGGATTTAAGGCTCTAGGGTACCCCCCCCCCACCCTGAAGCGAAATCACCCTAAACCCTAAACACGTCGGCCCAAAGTAGCCCTAATGCCTTCTGCCACGCGACCCAAGGAGCCCTGATTCGGCGAGCAGGGAACGATCCCGAGACTGGGCCCCAAGCCTCTAACTCTACATTCCGTTCGCCACCTGAACTTGACGCAAACAGCCCTCAAATCACCCCAAACCCTAAACCCTGCGAAGCCCGAAGCTTCCCCCCAAAAGAAAGCCCTCGAAACCCTGAACCCTAAACCCTAAACGCTACACCCTACGCCCTAAACCCTAAACCCTAAACCCTAAACCCTAAACCCTAAACCCTCTGTGCTGAGAAGGCCCGACGAACTCGCCGAAGCTGAGCCTGCGGAGCTGCGAGCAGGGCGGCATGCAGGCGGGAGGAAGGGTTTAGGGTTTAGGGTTTAGGGTTTAGGGTTTAGGGTTTAGGGTTTAGGGTTTAGGGTTTAGGGTTTAGGGTTTAGGGTTTAGGGTTTAGGGTCTAGGGCTTGGGGTTTGGGGTTTAGGGTCTAGTGTTTAGGGTTTGGGGTATAGGGTTTAGAGTTCAGGGTTTAGGGTTTAGGCTACACCCTTCCCTGTGACATCCCCTAAAGTCTCTCAAGTCCCTAAATAAAGTCTCTCAAGTCCCCAAGCCCGAGATCCCTATGCAGCCCTGTAAACCCTAAACCACCCCATAGACCGTGTAAACGCTAGAACCCCTTAAACCCATAAACCCTATATATGTTTATGGAGGTCATTTTGGGGGGCCTTTGGGAACTTCAGGGTACAGGCTGTATAGGGCTTTCAGGGACTTGCGGGCCCTCATTCTGGAAACGCTTGTGCAGTCCCGATCCCGTAAACCCAGCGGCTCGGGGATTTTGCAGGTAGGATGTGCGTCAGTCAAGGATTGCAACAACCCCAACTTATTCACCTGCAAGCTTACTTGGACACCCTAAACCCGAAACCCAAGCCCTCCACCCTAAGCCCGAAGCCTGAACCCTACAAACCCTAAAGGCCCCTCAAAGGCCCTGAGAAGCTCAGCGTGCGGCACAAAGCTTCCCTGTGGACTCTTGTTGCCCACATGTGGCGCGGCATCCGATCTTGGCAGAAGCACACTGGGCAGCCCCAAACCCTAAACCCTAAACCCTTGGCCACGGGCTTCTTGTAGCTCTACTTGGCAACTCGCGCGGAGGAAGGGATTGCAGTGGTGGAGCCGGAACCTCCAAAAATCCGCAGAACAAGGAGGGTTTAGGGTTTTGGGTTTTGGGTTTAGGGTTTGGGGTGGACACCACGAGTGCCTTGTGCCCAGCGGGTAGGGTTTAGGGTTTAGGAACCAAAACTAACTCTGCTCTGACCCAAACTAATTCTGAAGGTGACAATTGCCCACGTTAAATTTCGTTGGGCCTCCTGGGGGATGAGGAGGGTAGCCGGTAGGGTTTAGGGTTTAGGGTTTGGGGTTTGGGGTTTAGGGTTTAGGGTTTAGGGTTTAGGGTCCCACAACTGTGGCATTTAAAGAGGGGTTGAAGTTTCGTTGGGCTTACGGGGTTTGCACGGCTCAAGTTTCGAGACCTAGACTATAGTTAGATTTACAGTTTTTCCGGGGCTAAGCTATAAACCTTGTGCTGGGACGTGCAAGTCTGAGTCGAGGGAAGATAGTTAGAAATGCGTGGTGCCGAAATCCCGGCTGCCCTAAGGTGCCATGTACCAGGGTTTAGGACGCAGTTTGGGGCGTCGGGTTTAGGGCACACTTGGTCTTTAGAGCACTTCCTGTGTAGTGACCGAAAGGACTCTGTTGATGCGTGGTCGCTTCGCTAGAAGAACCATGTCAAGTAATCCATGCTAGCAAGCTCGAGATTGGAAAGCCAAGTGGGTCGATGGAAGCTTTGTCCATGAAGGGGTGGGAGGGGTACCCGAACACAAGGGTTTAGGGTTTAGGGTTCAGGGTTTAGGGTTTAGGGTTTAGGCTGTTTGTGTGCTCTTCTTGGAGGGCTGGTTAGCCCTCTCATGCTGATGGTGGGGGTGACCGGGGAGGGGGGGGGATGGCACAGCCCTATTCTGGAGGTGGAGAACCTCATCGAGCAAGAAGCGAAGGACACGGGGCATCTAGAACTTACACACCAAGCCCTAAACCCTGGCAACCTGCGCCCTGAACCTAAATCCTGTGCCTAAACCGAAACCTTCAACCAACAGAGACGAGCCGAGACCTGTTTTAGCGAGGGACTATCACTAAACCCCAAAACCCATAGGGCCCTAAACCTCATGTGCCTGTATACTCCATACCGAGAAAACCCCACACGACTACCATAGGGAATAGTGATTTTGCTCAGCGCTCATGTTGTAGATGTCTTGTCTGGGAAGTACATTTTGCATATCCCACCCTAAACACAGAACCCCTAAACCCTAAACCCTCGGTTTTCCCTAAACCGAATTAAGCCGGCTCCTATTCTGTGGCTTTTGGGCGTTCCATCCATTGGACTGTAAGGCAGGGGTTCCGTTTAGTGGGGTTTAGGGTTCAGGGTCTCGGGTTTAGGGTTCAGCGACTCAAGTCCAAGCATTCATGAGTCAAGCTTGCTGCTCTGGTCTAGAATATCTACCCACCGTAACATTCAGAAACCATACTCATTCTAATAAATTTTAAACCTGAAACCCTAGGCCTTGGACCTTAAATTCCAGGAGTCCCGCACCTTGGGCCTTGAACCCTAAACCCGGAATCCAGGAACCCTAAACCCTGAATCCAGGATTCCTAAACCCTAAACCCTAAACCCTAAAACCCTGAATCCAGGCTCATTGCCCAAAACCCGCTTAACCTGAGCCTTTGAACCTTAGTCCTCTGGACCCCAAAACCTTGAACCCGAAAACTGCCGTGTAGGGTGGAGGGGCCGGGCAACCGAAAAAACTCCACGCTCTAGCCGGTGAACCCTACACACTGCACGCGCAGGGATTGGAGTGCGAGTTTGCGGGGTGAAGGGGAGGGAGGGGGTGGGGGGGCGTGCACATTTGCAATGGCCGCCGACTAAGAAGCAAATTTGCCGACTCATAGGCGGATTTGCCAACCAATAGGCAATTTTCCCATCGGCATGTTTGCCTGCCAAATGACGTGGGCCATTAAGGTTCATGTACATAAGAACGAGAGGGTTTAGGACCCCTTCTCAGATCCATCGTAGGTGAAAACGAGTCTGCACCAAGTCCGGCGACCGCCGCCAAAAAAAACAAAACCGCAACACCCTAAACCCTATAACCTATAACCCCGAACTTTAGGCCTAGCCCTAAACCCTAAACCCTAAACCCTGAACCCTAAACCCTAAACCCCAAACCCCAAACCCTAAACCCTAAACCCCCCAACAGCAGGATGTGCCGGAGCTCCGGCGGCTGCTGAACCGAGGTGGCCTGCAATGGAGCCCTGGGAGTTGAAAAGACTTAGGGGGTTTAGGGTTTAGGGTTTAGGGTTTAGGGTTTAGGGTTTAGGGTTTAGGGTTTAGGGTTTAGGGTGAGGCTGCGGGAGCTCAGGGGCTTGGGGCTGAGGGAATCCAGGCGTTTAGGCGAACCCTGATTCCTAAAACCCCAAATCCTAAACCCTGAGCCCTTCAGGGTTCAGGGCTTAGGCGCTTAGGGACTTGGGGTTGTTGAGAAGGGTGGGGATTTGGGGATGTAGGGCCTTCAGGATTTTTTCTGTGCGGTTTAGGGCTGAGGGGTTTGGGGCTTACATAGGGCTTTAGGGTTCAGGGCTTAAGGGATCTATGGGGGGTTGCCAGAAATCCAAAGAAAAATACTGATATCGGTTGCAGAAGCCGAGAGTTCGGTAGCTAGCCTTACCTTCGACCCTCGACCCCAAAACCCCAAACCCTACAAACCCTAAACCCTATAAACCCTAAACCCTATAGACCCTCAACCCTAAACCCTAAACCCCAAACCCAAAAAACCCACACCCTAAACCCTATAGACCCTCAACCCGCATCCTTAAACCCAGATTCCGCAAGAAGTCGTGAATGGGGGTGTTTCGCCAGGGCTGGCCGCGCGTACAGTGGCCAGCCACGCCATGAACGCCGAGAGCCCCCTGGCCTAAAGGGTTTAGTCCATGCGGTTTAGGGTTTAGGGTTGAGGGTTGAGGGTTGAGGGTTTAGGGTTTAGTGTCTAGGGTCTAGGGTTTAGGGTGTAGGGTTTAGGGTTTAGCAATGAGGGTTCAGGTTTAGGGCTTATATAGGGTTTTATAGGGTTCAGGGTGTATACGATTTGGATTTGGTTCTTATGGGATTTAGGACCATGCTTCCTTAGGAGTTACCTACTTTTTTTTTCATACAAGTTCTCCTACACCCTAAACCCCAAACCCTACACCCTGTTTTCCAAACCCTTTGAATATAGCGGAAGCCCTACAAGGTGTATTCAAGCATTCCTTAACTTGGTGTAGATTTCTGGGCTCTTGGGTATATCAAAGAAAAACCACGAACAATAGACCGTTTTGTGCCCGAAGCCCTGGCAGTCGCAAACTGAACCCAAACCCTAACCGGCAGGTCTCCAGGAATTCGCGTCAACTGTCCCCAATTCCAAAGCCCTCCTGTGAATCCTACAACCCCTAAACTCTGAACCTGAACCCCTAAACCCCAACAACCCTAACCTTCAAGCCCTAAACCCAACACCCCCCCCCCCCCCCCAAAAAAAAAAAAAAAAAAAGTAGCCCTGAGCCGAAGGCTCCCGATCCCATGTCATGTTCACGGTCAAGGCCCGCTGCAGGAGCTTGAGTGGTTTTGTGTTTGGGGTGTGGGTTGAGGGTCTATAGGGTATTATAGGGTTAGATTGGGATGTTCCCCCTTATACTAACGGTCCTTAATTGGGATTATGGCAGGGTGTACTATAATCCCGATTAAGGACTGTTCGTATAAGGGGGAACATCCCAAGGGTTAGGGGTTGACGCTTTCGGGCTTTAGGTTATTCGATGTGACGGGCTCAGGTTGCAGGCGTCATTGACGCTTGTGTCAGGAGAGAGCGAGCAGAAGTTCTCCGACCATGCCAGTTGCCCAACAGAGAGTACAAGCTCGAGTTTAGGGTAGAATTATGGTTGGGGGTTCAGAGCTTAGGGTTCAGGATTTTTGGTTCAGGGTTGAGGGTTTTGAGTGCCTGGTTCATGGTTTCAGGTTTACTTTGGGGTTCAGGATATGGGTTCAGGGTCGGTTTGCGGGTTCCCTCTGTTGTTGAAACGCGCTACGACCGCTACGACACTCAACCTGATTCGATACGAAATCCCTAGACAAGACAAGCCTTTAGTAGGCAGGCCCTTGGGAACATTTGCCGAAACCCCCTAAACCCTAAATCCGAAAAGCCCTGAACCCTAAACCCTAAACCCTAAACCCTAAACCCTAAACCCTAAACCCTAAACCCTAAACCCTGCCAGGTCACCACAACCAACCGGGCTACCAAAGAGTCGCTGACGGGAAAGATCGTCTTGGTACGCTGGCAGTTTTAGGTTTAGGGTTTAGGGTTTAGGGTTTAGGGTTTAGGGTTTAGGGTTTAGGGTTTAGGGTTATACGGCTTATAGAGTTTATGGGGTTTTTCGAGGAATTAGAGGGTTCAGAGGATTTAGAGGGTTGATTGGGTTTATAGTTTGTAGGGTTTGGGGTTCTGGCTTTTTTTGTTATTATTATATTATTATTATTTATTTCATTTTGTTTTTGGGGGGGAGGGGGGTGGCTCGTGGGGTTTAGGGCTTAACTTATTAGGGTTTAGGGTTCAGGGGTTGGGGCTCGGTCGGCTTGGGGTGTAGGGTTTGGCCTTTGTAACCTCAACCCGAGAAGCCCAAGCCCTCCCCCCCCCCTCCCCCCCCCCCTCCCCCTCCCCCCCCCCCCCCCTCCCCCCCCCCCCCCTCCCCCCAAAAAAACACATGAAACAATAATGTCTGAAACCCATAAACAACCCATAAAATATAAAATTCCAGCAAGAACATTACCTAAACCCTGAAACCCTAAGCCCATAAAACCCCCTAAACCCTAAAACCCTAAAAGAAAACAAGAACAAAGAATCCACAAACTACCCTAAAAACCCTAAACGCTAAACACCCTCATCCCTAAGCAAATGCGCAGAACCTGTTTGATGCCGTTGCACAGTGCATAACACGTGCCGGTGAGAAGCTCGATGGCACGAGCAGTTGGTTGGAGGAGGCGGTTCTCGAGACGGATAGAATAAGTGGCCTGCACTCCCAGAGGGTCCATGTACCTATATGGTATATCCTTGGGCCTTAAAGGGGTTCACGTATAGTATCTTTAGGGCCCAAGTATATACTATATGGGTACATGGACCTTTAGGGACTGTGTCGCGGTTCGAGGATGGGACTCGCAGACGCAGAGCGTGTTTCTTCGCATGAGTTGCAGTCTTCCCAACACCGACGGAGCACGTGCACTGGACGTGTTTGTGGAGTTCCTGCCGGGGGGCCAAAGCCCATAAAGCCCCTAAACCCTAACCCTAAATCCTAAACCCTAAATCCTAAACCCTAAATCCTAAACCCTAAACCCTAAACCCTAAATCCTAAGCCCTAAATCCTAAACCCTAAATCCTAAACCCTAAGCCCTAAACCCTAAACCCGAAACCCTTCTTCTTCCCCGTCGCAGTGCGACTTGGGTGGCTCCGAGCGGCTCAAGAAGAGCGAGGCTTGGGGCCTTGCTTTTTTTTTTCGGGTTTAGGGTTTAGGTTTAGGGTTTAGGGTTTAGGGTTTGGGGTTTAGGGTTCAGGGTCTCAGGTCCAGGGCATTGGGTTTTGGAGTTTTAGGACTTCAGGACCTCAGGTTTCAGAATAACCTTCTCCCAGGATTGCAGTGTTTTAAGGGTTGAATACCTCTTGAACGGGTCATCCCTAAACCTTCAATCCCTAAACCCTAAACCCTATAAACCCTATAAACCCTATAAACCCTATAAACCCTAAACCTTAGAAAGTAACGGACTTTGGGGAGTTGGGGCTCGGCAAGGGAGTGAGTCCTTAGTACCCTTGGCCAAGGGTTTAGGATTTGCTGGGGCTTATGTCAAGCCGTTAGGGTTAAGGCTTAATCGGACTTAGGGTTTAAGAGCACATCACGGACTGCGCGCTTCTGGTGATTGGCAGAGCTTCGGCCAGGACGAAAAGCGGCGACTGTGCAACCATGAGAGGGAGACGAACCTGCCCACATTGGTGGTGCCGTACAATGGCCTCTACCACTGTGTACCCAGTTCCCAGGCCGGAGTGCCGGCGTTCTTGGCGCCGATCATCAGCCAGCACTTCACACGACCCCTAGGTGTGGGCCCTCTCTGTGTTTCTCTTCAAAGAGAGGCAAGAATAGGAAATTCTGTTAGGTTTTGTAGGGTTGTCTAGAGCTTAGGGTTAATCGGGTTTAGGTTTAACAGGGACGAGGGTTCATGGGGCTTAGGTCTCATAAGGCTAGTAGGGTTGTGTAAGTTTTTAGGGTTAACCCTCAACCCTAAACCCTAAACCCTAAACCCTATTGGGCCAATTGGGTTGCAGCTGAATCTGAGCCTGCAAGTAAGTGCTGCAAGGCTTGGTGGTGGTGGGGGGCAACACTAGACCCTAAACTGCAAGGCCAAAGGTGGAGGTTGCTGCCATTTGTGTGTTGCAAGGGTTTTAGGGTTTGGGGTTTTGGGTTTGGGTTTTTGGGTTTAGGGATGTGGGGGGAGGTGAGTCCTTTCCCCACTTCCCTGCTCACGAGGTGACGGGCGAGAACATGAAGGAAGCCATCGAGATCAATCGATCCCTGACGGCTCTCGGGGACGTCATCGAGGTGGCAGGGCTGTGTCTTAAGAATACCTAGCGTACTCGTAAACATTCTTAGTGCCGGCACGAATGTTTTTCGGTCAGAAAGAGGACACGGAGCGTACACCAAGACCCACCGGCCCCCCCTCTTCCCTCAGAAACCGAACCCCTAGAAGAAACGCTCCTACAGGTCCGAGGGGTTTAACAGGCCCCAAACACTATACCCCTACCTTCAACCCAGCAAAGAGTACTACAATTACAATAATAGCCCTGCCAATACGGGAGGTGTGGCTTACTTGGCTGGGTCTTCTTTTGGCGCACTGCAACCACCGCCCTCGGGACTCCTCATCGAATTAAGGAGATGCACCCCGGGTTCGCCGGGATTCGTGTCCCTGTACATTGCTGTACAGACAAGCAGAGAGGCAGCTCTGGAGCAGCTAAAGATCTACAAGCCCTGAAGAAGAAGGTGGCAGAGCTGGATGCAGCGTCTGCAGCCAAACCCCGTCGTGCCAAGATGAGCTTGGTGACATGAGCGCGGCTGTCATGTATCAGAGATGTAGCCTTGCCCCTGGTTCTGAGTTGAACAACATATTCCTGAATTGAAAATCAGGAATGTTCCTCACAAAAAGCAAAGTACTCACCCTAAGCCCGAAACCCTAAACCCTAAACCCTAAACCCGTGGCGAGCCCGGACCAGCTCCAACAGCTGTTTAGGGTCTCTCTAGGGTTTAAAATCAAGGGGTTAAGACTTGTACCCCTAAGGTTGTACCCCTTAAAGGCTCCTCTTTATACTCCACACATGGCCTTTATACTAGCTTAGAGGTAAAGTTGGGGGCTTATTCGTGTTTAGGTTATGGTATATGAGACGAAGCTATCATCGGACTCGGCGACACAAAGCTACCTTCAACGCTGAGGTTTTAGGGTTCCGGGCTGTGGGTTCTTGGGGTTTAGGGTTTAAGGTGCAGGGTGTAGGGCTGAGGGGTGTCAACTTTGTCCTACACCCTGTTTTTTAGGATTCAGGGCTTAAGGATTCAGGCATCCGGGTTCAACTACTATAGGGGGGGGGGGGCGGGGGCGGGCGCAGGCTTGCCGAAGCCCCCAAACCCTGAAGCCTAGACCCGAAGCACTCAGCCCTAAATCCTAAACCCTAAACCCCTAAACCCCTAAACCCCTAAACCCCTAAACTCCTAAACCCCTTAACCCCTTAACCCCTTAACCCCTTAACCCCTTAACCCCTAAACTCCTAAACCCCTTAACCCCTTAACCCCTTAGCCCCTTAACCCCTTAACCCCTAAACCCCTAAACCCCTTAACCCCTAAACCCCTAAACCCCTAAACCCCTAAACCCCTAAACCCCTAAACCCCTAAACCCTTAAACCCCTAAACCCCTAAACCCCTTAACCCCAAACCCCCAAGCCCCCAAGCCCCAAACCCGCCTGAGGCCATCGCCCGGGGCAAGGCGCAAGTGCCCTACCGCAACCATCGCCTCACGCAGCTCCTCCAGGCACTTCTTCACCCCCCAAAAAAGAGTGATAATCCCTATATGTACTTATAAGGAAGAATCGTTTGTGTTTTTTGGGGGGGTTTAGATGAACAGGGTTTAGGGTTTAGGGGTCAGGGGTTAGGGGTTTAGGGGTTTAGGGGTTTAGGGGTTTAGGGGTTTAGGGGTTTAGGGGTTTAGGGGTTTAGGGGTTTAGGGGTTTAGGGGTTTAGGGGATAGGGGTTTAGGGGTTTAGGGGTTTAGGGGTTTAGGGGTTTAGGGGTTTAGGGGTTAGGGGTTTAGGGTTTAGGGTTTAGGGTTTAGGGTTTAGGGTTTAGGGCTCAAGGAACTTCGATGAGCCAGTGGCTGTTTCAAGTTTGGAGCTTTGGGGTTTGTACGCTTCGGGGTTTAGAGAGTTTGGGTTGCGGGGTTGTGGGTTCGGGTCCCTTTCGAGTATTGTACTTAGAACCCTACTTAAACCCAAAACCCTGAACCCTACTCGCGACCTCCTTACCACGTTCTGTGAGCCTTCAAGCGGCTGCAGAGAGCATCCGCCCAGGTTGCTATTGGCTGGCGAGTTACAGTGCTGTTATGAAAGGCACGAGAACCAGACCCTAAAGGCCTAAACCCTAAACCCTCAACGCAACTGATGAGGTACCCTTCAGCGCGTATGGGGGCGGAGTGCCAGGTTACGGTTGGGTTTAGGCAAAGCCCTGAGCCTTGAGCACAGGAGAATCCGGTATGCCCAGTAGACTGGCAACTTTATCAAGAGAACTATGTAGCTACTCCAGCCCCGGAAATATTGGACTCCAGGACGAACCCAATTGTTCCTTAATTCGGTTTAGGGTTTCGGGTTCAGGATTTAGGGGTTTTGGTTTTAGGGTTTTGGGTGTAGGAGTAGCAGTGAATCAGATTCCTGCGGGGTACAAAGCACCCTTACGAAGATCCCAAACTCTTGCAGCAGGATTCCCTGGGCGGCAGCGCGAAAACCCTGATGTTCGTGAACTGCTCACCTGCTAGGTCGGCTCGCCTGGGTGGGTTTAGGGTTTAGGGTTTGGGGTTTAGGGTCTGGGGTTTTGGGGTTTACATCCCAAACCCGACATGGATTCCCCGAAAGCCCCCCAAAGGATTCCTGTGGGGATGAGTTGTGTTTTTTGGAGGCGGGAGGGGGAGGGTTGTTGTGTTGCACTAAGGGTTTGGGGCTCTGGGCGTTCCGGGGATTTAGGGGCTTATGACCATGGTTCTAGCTGGATGTGGCCCTCTAAACTCTGAACCCTCTGAACCCTAAACCCGTAATCCCTGAACCCGAAACCCTTCTCACATATCCGAAGTAGCACCGAAACCTTTCCACTTTTTGTAGAGAAGTAGTCAATTAGGATCCTTGTTTAGTCCGTCATAGAGGGAACTACAGGCGTTCATGGTACCTCTGCTCACACATTCCCTATCCGTCCCTGAACTCGGAACCCCAAACCCATATATTAAGTACCAGTAAGAATCTGTCTCCCAGCCAGGTCAAACCTGCATGAGACGTGGCTTGGCCTGAGGAAGCTCAAGAGACACGAAGTTTAGGGTTTAGGATTTAGGGCTTGGGGTTTAGGGTTTAGGGCTAGGGTTTAGTATGTAGGGTTTTGGGTTTAGGGTTCACGGTGAGCCCGTGATTCACAGGTCGGAACCCCCCAAAACCGCAAAAGTCCTAAAACCCACTAAAACCCCCCAAACCCCTAAAACCCTCTAAAACCACTGACCCCCCCCCAAAAAAAAAAAAAACCTTGTAAAAACGGCTGAACGGCCCTGAAACCCTGAAACCCCAAGCCCCAAATTCCGAGAACCCTAAACCTCAAAACCCTAAACTCTGAACCCAAATTCCTTCAAGCTTTTTTGAACCCTAAGCCCGAGACCTAAACCCTAAACCCTAAACCCAGGATGCCCAGAGCGGAACATTCCCTTTTTTAAGACTCAGGGCCTGGATGTTCGCCCTTTGTCTAACAGCCCTCAATAGGGATTCTATTAGGGGGTACTCGAGTCCCGATTACGGACTGTTGCTGTAGGGTTTAGGGTTCAGGGTTTAGGGTTAGGGGTTTTAGGGTAAGAACTCTGCGGGTTTGCTAGACTACCTACACCCCTTGGAGCCCCCTCCCTATAAGGACCTTGTAAATTAGACAACCCAACACCCAGAACGTGAATTCTGAATCTCGGCTCCCAACACCCTAAAACCCTACGCCCCTTAGCCCTAAACCTTAAACCCCAAACCCCAAACCGAAAGCCTCCCAGCTGTAAACCCCTCGAATTTCTCCACCCCTAGGCCCTAAGCCCTAAGCCCCAAAACCCTAAACCCTAAACCCTAAACCCTAAACCCTAAGCCTAAACCCTAAACCCTAAACCCTAAACCCTAAACCCTAAACCCTAAACCCTAAACCCTAAACCCTAAACCCTAAACCCTAAACCCTAAACCCGAAGCCGCCGAGGATGATGAGTCTGAATTACGCACTGCGCGCCAAGCGCATCGTGAACAATGTCGTTGGGGCCCTGCAGGGTCGGGGTTTAGGGTTTAGGGTTTGGGGTTTCGGGTTTAGGGTTTGGGGTTTGGGGTTTGGGGTTTGGGGTTTGGGGGTTCGGAGGTGCTTTCGCGTGCTCTATACATGATAATGGGCTTTAGGGAGTGTAGGGTTTTGGGGAAGTAACCCTAAACCCTGAACGCTAAACCCTAAACCCTAAACCCTAAACCCTAAACCCTAAACCCTAATTAAACCCTAAACCCTAAACCCCAAACCCTAAACCCTAATTACACCTTAAACCCTAAACCCTATATGGCCTATATGTGCCCCGAACCTCCGAGCTCTGTCCTTAGGGCCTGAAGGTCCCTTGAAGGGAGCAGCTACTTTGGGCCTTAGGGTTTAGGGTTTAGGGTTAGGGTTTAGGGTTTAGGGTTTGCGATTTAGGGTTTAGGGTTTAGGGTTGAGGGTTCAGCAAAAGTCTCAAACACAAATCCCCAAGGCCGGAACTCACAACCCACCCGAACTTAGACAAGAACAAAGCTTAGTAGATGAGTAGGTAAACATTAAGCTTGTGGGGTAGACATAAACCTACCACAATTGGAAGGTTAACCTTTTTTCGCTCAGGGTACTGAGCAGCCCCTAAACCGTAAACCCTAAACCCTAAACCCTGAACCGAATCATTAAGGCCCCCTGGAATATCCCCAGGCACATCCCACACGGCGGTTGAAGGAGGCGTCGCAAGGCCGAGGCCTCCTTCGAGGGTTCGGTGTTTTTTTTTTTTTTGCTTCAAGTAGGGTTTAGGGTTTAGGGGGGTTCAGGGGTTTGGGGGTTTGGGGTTTATGGTTTAGGGTTCGGGTTTTGGCGTCTAGGGTTTGGGGTTTAGGGTTTAAGGGTTCTAGGGTTTAAAATAAAAGCCTGCATTTTGTACCATGCGCTCTACACGATTCTCAGGTCGGCTTTGGTTCTTGAGGGGGGTCGGGTGCTAGCATCAGGCTTTGAAGAGGCACAACGTGACAAGAGCACGACACACAATGTCAGCGGTTGAGGGTTTAGGG